TAAAATAGAAGGCTGCAGGTTCCCCACCCCAGAGTTTGACCTCTACTGGGTGCCGAATGCATGTTTTTAGAATAAATGCATTAAGGTAGATGCTGCTCACACCCACCTCCCTGAGAGAGACAGAGAGTGTGCAGAGCCCAGCCAAAGAGGGAAGGGATTGCACCGGCTTTGCTCCGGGAGGCTCAAAGGTATAGGATATAATGGTTTTTAAAGACTGTCCAGAGTTTTCGGCGCCCCTTCTTCTTAGTAGTAACCCCTGTCCCCAACTCTCAATTTTGTTATTATTTTTACTTCCATGATGGAGCTTTAAGTACACAGGGGTCCCTCACTTCCCTGTTGTCTCCTGTTCCCAATAAATACCATCCCTGAATTGAAAACTTTTTTGGTCTTTGTTGCCCTCGGTGTCAGATTTGTTGTTAGGGCTCCTGTTTGCCAAATCTTCCTCTCATCCTCCAGGGTCGTGGGCATAGGGGTTTGTGCACGGAACTTTCTCCAATGCAACTAGGTGCACACCTCATCCTGCAAAGGGATGTTCTAGAGGGTCTGTGCGTGCATGTGTGTGTGTGTGTGTGTGTGTGTGTGTGTGTGTGCGCGTGTGTGTTCGTGGTGCAAAAGGAGGGGTGGGGGTGTAGAAAGAAGATCTGGGAAGTAACATGGAGACTGAAAGAGGAGCACGAATTTTATGGTCTCTGAGCATTTCTTTGACGTTCTTTGCCAGGTTGACTTTGGATTCGCTAAGAAGATAGGATCCGGACAGAAAACATGGACGTTCTGTGGGACTCCGGAGTATGTAGCTCCGGAAGTCATCCTCAACAAAGGGCACGACTTCAGTGTGGATTTCTGGTCCCTGGGGATTCTAGTGTACGAGCTGCTAACGGGCAAGTAGGTACCTCCAAGTTTCGTATGGCCTCTTCTTCGGAGCAGTGCAAAAATAACTTCCCAGTGATAAAGTATACAGTAATGTAATTTAAGAGTTTGACATTTTGGAAGTGTTTTAAACTATGATGCCTTTTCGTCTTTACGTTATTTCACCTGCAATGAGCTTGCTGGTTTATGACATGGAGGAAAGATTCAGGAAAGGAATACAGAATTGCTATGGTTTACCTAAAAGGGCAAGGCCCATTATTATTGATAATATGTTAAGTATGTGAAGGTTTTGATAATTTAGCGTAAGAATAAGAGAAGGAATGAAAGTTGTGGGGTATGTCATTATTTCCTCTTTTTTATAATTGGGAAAATAGCAATCCTAATTGAGTTAAATCCGCTGATCGATTAAACCAAATTTATCCACGCTCTTGCATCTTCCTGACATATCATTAACCAGAAGTGCTAAGAGAAAGCCTCATTGCTGGGTTTAAATTCTTATCCCCTTGTCAGCTCCTTTCTAAAGGTGCTAATGAACAGAGACAGGACACCACAGGGCGTTTAGCAGTTCAAATTGAATTGTCATTCCCGCAGAGATTAAAGGACTCTATCAATGAATCCAGGATCTCAAATATTTAATGCACATACACGCCCATGCACACGCACATTTTTAGGCTATACGTGGTATCACCTCACATTTGTAAAGTACTTTATAGTTTTCAAAACACATGTGTATGATCCAGTTTAGTTTTCACAAACTTGTACGGAAAATAAGACAGGAATTTCTGTTATTTTATGATTTAGATTTTTATTATGATTATTTTATGACTTAAATTTTATAGATCAGAAAACCAGGTGAGAGAACTACCTGCCTGAGATCAGTAATTCGATCCCAGGACTTCTGACTCTAAACGAGACTCACTTTCCATGACGGATGTGTACCACATGTATGTGTTTATGATATGATGCGTGGACCCACCAGCATGGGGTTTAAAGTAATCTTCTTTATGGCTTTATACCTCCACTTCTCATGAACTGATCTGATTATTCCCATAACCCTTTATAACCAAATATTTTCAATCTTGATTTCAGAGAGGAATTGCTTATGAAATAACTGAAGAAATACGGGAATGAGTCCGTTGGTTGGGAGACAGTCTTAATTCATACTTTACAAAAAGAGAGTTTCATAGAATCTTTTTGAACTTTTTACACTACGCATTTCAACATTAGATTTCCTGTGGCTACATTGAACATCTCTGTCTGCACGCATCGAGCAAACAGATATGGAAGATCATTTTGTATTATCTGTAATCATTTTGAAATATTCATTGCTTAAGATTCCACCGGAAAGAAGATAAAATCGCCAGGCAGTCATTCAGAGAGGAAAGCCATTTAAGGTTTTGGGCACGAGGAATTCTATTTCAAGAATTTGTTTCCTCATCCCTGGGAAATTTGTCAGCTGAGTTTCTAAGAGATATTGGTTGTTGGTTGCGGTTGGTTGGGGATTTTCCTTTTTGTTTTCCTCGGGTTGGATTAAGTTTTTGGAGGGGTTGGGGAATTAAATTGAGGAATTAGGGAGGGGAAAAAAAACAAACAATAACTCACATTTGCTACGTTGGCCTTGAGCTGTCATAAAGAAGTTGGGAAATTGTTTTTGTAAACGTTTTCAGGGTAGGGCATGAGAA